AATTAATTACACAAGGTTCGTCTTTATTAGGTTGGGTTTTTATAACATAAAGATATTTATTCTACTTTTACACATTTTTGCCCTGTATTAAAGAAGTCTTTCGGGTTTATTAGAACATAGGCATTTTTAAGGATTACTATCTGTTTATTTATAGGAATTGGGTATACACAATAGAGTGTATAAGGTAAATTTGAAATTATTGGTAAAGTAATGTCGAATATTATTAATTCATTCTTTCGAATTACATCGGCATGTGCGACTTCATAATACTTTGTTTAATTATCAAAAGGGATTTTATTTTTCTTGCTCCACCTTTAGTTCATTATATTTAAGAATACTATGGTATACCTACTTCAGAAAAGTTAATTGCTGTTTGTATGTTATTATATAATTCATTTATTATATGAAGATTACTTTCCATATTATTTAAGATAATATTTAGATGAGTAACGGTAGAGGTTTTCAATATTTTCATGGATAAATCATTTATTCTTTCCTGTAGTGCTTTTGATTTATTTTAATATTTTTAAGGATCATTTGAGTAGTTATTGTATCTTGTTGTAACGAAAACTGGTTTTCCTGTAACATTTTAATATAGTTATCATATCTTTCCCCATCGTCTGCATCTAACGTACCATTGAGATATTTGTGAACTTTTCCTATTATATTAAGTATCTTCGTTTGCGTCTTTTAGGTAATGTATAATGTTTTATGAATTCGTCAATTATCTTAGTATGATAACGCAGATCATGAGTCCGATTTGTCAAAAGGTCCCGTGACGATGAGGTTAGATTACTTATTGTATTATTCATATTAAGTAGTGTTAGCTTTATTTTACTCACACAGTTTTTTATTTTAGTAATGGTAATAGATATGATGGTACCCATTTACAATATAGCTTATTCCTTGATTAACCGTCAATAGCGGGTTAGTTAGTTTTTCAATACGATACTGTCCGGAATCCGGACTCGTCGTGACGTGCCGGGGTCCGAGCGGGATCAAAGGGTTTTTTGCGTCGGGCCGTCTCAAAGCGTTACGGTTAATTTAATACCATCGGTGCAGTGGTGGCTCGTTACACTCTCCCCCCTGGTTTCGAACTCGGCTCGAGGAGGAACCAGATATCTTCTTGTTCTTCTTTAGTAGTCGTCCTCATCTTTTCAAGCTAACGACTGGTTGCTCGTCCTCAGCGAAATTTACAGGAGTTAACGAGGAGACATGATACACTCCTAGGGTCTTCTCCAAATCTGGCAACTTCATAAGTGGTGGGTGATACAACTCTGATTATTTCGTAGGGACCATCTCGTTTCGGGGAAAATTTGGCTGTCACTCCTTTGGCATGCGTCTTAACCCAAACTCTGCCTTTTAATTGAAAAGTTGGCGGGTTTGTTCTTCTCGAATCAGCATACTGCTTCTGTCGATCCTGGTTCTTTTCGTGGCTTTCTTTAGCTTCATTCCATGTCCTTGCAATTTTCTGGCGATATGGGGTGATTTGTGGTACGAAATTGTCCGTATTTGCTATTACGCGGAAATCTTTGTTGATGTCATCGAGGGTCCTTAATTCTCTCCCAAAGGTGAGGTAAGTAGCAGATTGATTAGTTGCTTCATTGCATGCGCTGTTCATAGCGAATCTGATCGTCGCCAGTTTCTCGGGCCATGAACCATGGTCTTCTTTAACAAGCATTGCTAGTCTTGGTTTGAGATCTCTGTTTTTCATTTCAACCATATTTGCTGATGCGTGGAACGATGCTATGAGCGTTTCCTTGATGTCTAGTGTATAGCATACTTGTTGCATGACGGCTGACACAAACTGTACACCGTTATCGCTGATCACTTTTCTAGGCAAACCATACCGGGAAAATACTTCGTCGATGAGAGTCCGTGCGCATTCTTCGGCGGTGGCTTTCTTTAAGGCAAATAACTCAACCCACTTTGATGAGTTGTCTTCGAGAGCCTTTTCCCTCTCATGGCTAGGGACAACCAGTTGAGCTTCTTCTTCCTCTTCTTCTGAAGAATACGTGTACAGAACTCCCTGAGATAGTAGATATCCACGGACTGTCCATCGTGTAATATCTTCTCAATTTGTTGATTCGAAACTCTTGATTATTTTTTCGAGTTCCGCGTCTTTTAGCTGTTCTTTTCTTATTTCTTCGGCGCTAAGATGCGGCAGTTCGATCGTTACCATGCCGATATCGCAAGTCCTTTGTTCATCATGTGTGCAAGGCGGTCGCGATAGGGTATCTGCTACCATGTTCCGTTTGCCCGGTAAATATTCAATCTTTACGTCATAACCTTGAATTTGCAAAGCCCGCGCTAGACGTCCTGTGGGTGATTTTAGATTGAGTAACCATCTCAAAGGTTGATGTTCGGTTTTCACTACGATAGATACTACTGCTAAAGATTCCCTTTCTGAAGTGGAGTAGTTCCTTTCGGCAGATGAGCGATGATGGCGATTGGTGGATGGTTTCCCGTGTTGATATAATGTCGAGCGTAAGGGGTTGGTTCTCCCCCCAGACTGAAGGTATTATTTCGTTCTGTCAAGAGTTGATTTAGGTGCCCTCTCTGTTCATCTGTGGACATTACTTCCTGGTCTGATCGCAAATGTTCCAACGATAATGCTTCAATTACCCTATTTGATAGCAGTGGTGATGAACTCTCATAGTCCAATTGGAATTTCGCATCTGGCTGATCAGCAGAAGTCCATTCTTCATTGTCAAGATCAAAACTAAGCTTCATATCTTTCAAAAAATCGATTCCGAAAATTGTTCTTCTTCCGTTCAAGTCTACTTCTACGGACGTTGTGAGCATTTGAGTCTTCTTGCTTTGTCCGTCCGCTAGCTTTACTGAAATTTCTTCTTTGCAAAACTGTTGACTTTTTTCCAGCAATACCTTGTAGAGCGTACTACCAGCAACACTTTGTTTGGCTGCCGTATCAACAATTCCCTGCCCAATGATTTTGACTAGAAGTACCGTGGACGGTGGACTAATCAGTGTGTCTACTGACGAAAAATCAACGGAGGCAGTCTCCACTGGCTTACATTCCGGACATTTTGATCGAACAAATTCTGGCTTTCCACAACCGTAACACGTTATGGGTGTAGTTGCAGTGATGAGTGCTGCTGATGCAAATGATTGCGAACTCTTTTAAGATGCGGTCGCTGTTTGCATGTTTTGCTTTGACGGAGCATTTTCATTAACATGTTTTGACTGTAATTTGCGACACTCGTCTTTTGAATGACTGATATTTTTACAATATTGGCAACGAACGCGCTTAAAATTGTCACAAAGTTCACGATCGAAAGTTTCTTCAACTAACCGCGCTTGTTTAAGTAGGTCAGTGAATGTTGCGATTTTATCGCGAGGAATCTTTTCCCGAATTTTTCTGTTTAACAAGGCGTACACCAGGTCGAGTTGAACATCTTCACTTAAAGTATTCGGTGGTAGCTGACCTAAAATCGAACGAGATTTGCACACGAAAACGTCGGTCGGCGTAGTAGAATCTTGTTCTTTTGCAAATAATTCGCGGTAAACACGATGTGGTGGTTTTTGAGGACCAAAAGTTGTTCTTAATAACCCTAAAGCTTCATTCCAATCAAAAACTGTGCGTTTTACACTTTGGTACCACTTCGCAGCGAAACCATCGAACAACATCGGAAGTCCTTTCAAAGCTTTTCCGTCAGAAATTTGTACGCAGTCATTATAGATTGAAATCGCGTCTATGAAAGCATTTACGTCAGAGTCTTTTAAACCATCGAACCGAGATGAACATGGCGAGAAGTTTCCTGAAAATGTCGGAGCACTAGATACTTGCGTTTGTGAATTTACGGTTAAGTTCTTGAAACTGAGCTTCACTTAACGTTACGTGTGCGTGTGTGCATGTGTGTGTGTGTGTATGTGTGTGTGTGTGTGTGTGTGTGTGTGTGTGTGTGTGTGTGTGTGTGTGTGTGTGTGTGTGTGTGTGTGTGTGTGTGTGTGTGTGTGTGTGTGTGTGTGAAAAATCCTTGAAAACCGGTGAAACTCACGTAAAATTTCGGAAATCTAACCTCTTTCGAGAAACAAGTTGGAGCGCCAATGTAAGAGAACGGGGCCCTCTCGGGGTAAAGTGGGTAGCACGAAAACACGGAACAGACTTCTTACTAATTTTCAACAATTAGTTTCAAAAGGAATGATCAAAATGCGTGAATAAATGAAAATAAAACTTCGCGTCCGTCGCGTAGCGTGACGTGCCGGGGTCCGAGCGGGATCAAAGGGTCTTTTGCGTCGGGCCGTCCCAAGGCGTTGCGGTTAATTTAATACCAACGGTGCAGTGGTGGTTAGTTACAAGGTTAATTGTACTTCTGCTTTCGGATGTCAGCTTAACTTTTTAATTTTCTGAAGGTTATTAAATCTCCTAATTCGTAATCTGTGCGATTTCATTACTTGTTTTGGATCTCTATTGGTACGGATAACGATTGTATTGGTTTCATCTTCTTCTTCTATCCAAAGTAGGAAAAATGTGATCACTAGCTTTTTTTTGTTCATTTAATAATTCATTGTTATTGAGCATACTAGCGTTTTTGAAAGTAGCTTGGTTTATTTTAAAGCTTCTTTTTAATTCTCTACTTATTAAACATTCATGCTCATTTTTTACAATTTATTTTGCTCTTAATGACAAGTAATTTGGACGCGACATTACGGAAAAATTATTCAAATACTCGTAATAAGCTTTTCAGAAACATACGGTAAAACGGGTTATTCCACACTTCCACTGATATCAGCCGATACGTGGTCAGCATCTACTTGACACTCCTGTCTTGTCTCTCACCCATGAATAAATTATTGGTTTTTGGGTTTAACCATTAACAATAGGTATGAAGGTCGTAATTTATATTTGCGATGGTCTGTTCTTTCTGCATAAATATTTTAAATTCTGCAGTTATTTTGTGAAAGATTTTGCTAAAATAAAACAGTCGAATTCGTTTTTAAAATTCTTTGTTTATAAGTACATAAATGAATTACATATTAACAATAAAAACATTACAATAGGCTTGTTAAAAAATTCTAAGGTTGCGCGATTTAATATCAGTAGCGATAACGTTTAGGTCTGGTGTTATTAAAATTCCGGATACCCACTTAAATCCACCTTTGGTTCCAAAAATTTTCACAACTGTTCCGTCCGGTTTGAATACTTGTATCCTCGCGTTACCAGAATCACCCACAAAAATAAAGCCCAACTGGTCCACAGCTACCACTTCTGCGTATCTGAACTGTCCTGGATTGCTACCAAATGAACCAAACTCGCTAAGGAATTCACCATTTCGATTGAATATTTTGACCTAAAATACAAGTTTTCTTTGAAAAAAGTTTGGCCGCGATTCTCCTTATTCCTTATTCTTTCTTCGCAACTGTATGTTTGTGTTTTAGTGTTTACTTAACTCAAAGACAGTTCACCAGTGACATATGAAAGAGTATTTAAAATTGGAAGAAAACGAAATTAAAAATTGGCAAAAAAAAAAAAAAAACAAAAACGTATTTAGTATCCACAAAATAAAAAAAAAGATCGTTGTAAGAAACAAATAATAATTTATCTCTGTCAAGTATTTAAGGGACGCGGTTTGTTTTTTAAGAGAATGGGTTTCACCACAGGTTTTAAAAAATAATTACACACGTTTCCATCTAGTACGAGGCAATCTGTGATTGAATCTGATGATGAATCATGCAAGGATATATATATATATATATATATATATATATATATATATATATATATATATATATATATATATATATATATATATATATATATATATATATATATATATATATATGTATGTATATATATATATATATATATATATATATATATATATATATATATATATATATATATATATATATATATATATATATATATATATATACAGGGTTTTTCACTTAAAACTCCGCACGCCAATAACCCCAAAACGAAAAGAAATATTTAATTTATGTAAAAAGTAGTCAAAGTGTGGGGTCAAGTTGATATTTCCTAAAGTTTAAAAAATTCGACGCCTGCAAAGAGCTAGGCGTCGCGACGCGTCGAAAAATTATTCGATTGCAGAGACTTTGGAAATACGCGGATACAAAAGTACATATTATTTAAAAACTTTTTTGTTATTTACTCAAACTTATTTACTTTACCCGTTTCTAAGTTATACCGATTTAAGGTAAACATTTCTTGATTAATAAAAAATGTGATTAACGCTTATTTTTACAAGTATGCCATGAATGTTAGTTACTATGGCAACCATTGTTATCGCAGTTGTTTTAAGTGCAATTACAAAGAACAGATTTCAACTATTTTAGTATGATTTTATTTATTATTTTTTATCGATTTAGTTCTGATAACATGATGAATAAATGAAAAAACAGTAAAATACCTACAAGTTAATAACCAAAATTATTATTGCAATTAACTACATAATAAGACATTTCAAAAATTTTGTTCAAAATTATGTCCATCTGCTCGAACACAACTATCAAAAACTTTTAACAGATTAGCTTGGGTCACTTGTAGGAGAGTCCTTCTTGTGATAGCGGCACACGCTGCACTAATTTTGTTAATGAGATCAGTCATATCTTCGGTAGGTTCTTCATAGATAACGTTTTTTAGGTAGCCCCAAAGAAAATAATCTGGTGGTGTAATGTCCGGGGACCTCGCCGGCCACCTTACCGGTCAATTATTACCAAACCATCTATTGGGATATTCTCGGTTCAAATACCTCGTTACTATTTGGGCATTATGTGCAGGCGCTCCATCCTGCTGTAGCCACATATTCATTCTAGTGTCAAGAGGCACTTCTTCTAATAGTTCCGGAAGTGTAGTTTGAAGAAATCTTAAATAGCGATCTGCATTTAAAGTTCCTTCGTAAAAGTAAGGTCCAATAAGGAATCCATTTAATATGCCGCACCAAACATTGATACTAAAAATTCGTTGGTTACCTATTTCTGTAATCCAACGAGGATGGTTTTCGGACCAAAAACGACAGTTGTGTCTATTAACGATTCCATTATTTTGAAATCGACTTTCGTCGCTCCATAAAATTTTCGAGAGAATATTTGCATCTTGGCTATACAAATCGGACAATGTCGCTAAGAAATACATTCTTCTAGCATAATCGCCTGGTTCTAGTTTATGAACTAGTTTATTTTTGTACGGGTGAAAAGAGTTTCTATGTAGAATTCTCCACAAAGAACTTATGGTAACACCGGTATTTTCTTTTATCTCTGATAGGGATATCTTGGGGCCGTCCTGTTCCTATCTCTTTTAGGTTTTATGAAGCTGCCATATTCCCTTAAGTTTTTACATAAACTTGAAAAGGTTTTTGCATCGGGGACTCTTCTATGCGGATAACGCCGTGCGTAAACTCTTTTTGCTTCTCTACAATTGCATCTGCATTCTCCAAACACCAGTAACATGTCTACTTTTTCCTCATTGCTAAATTGCACCATTTTCACATAATAATTCTTAGTTTTTTTTAAACCGAACTAATTTGGATATTTCTTGTGACAAAATGTAACAATTTTTTGATACAGCAATAACAACTTACGTTTGTAATTGCACTTAAAACAACTGCGATGACATTGGTTGCCATAGTAACTAACATTCATGGGTAAAAATAAGCGTTAATCACATTTTTTATTAATCAAGAAATGTTTACTTTAAATCGGTATAACTTAGAAACGGGTAAAGTAAATAAGTTTGAGTAAATAACAAAAAAGTTTTTAAATAATATGTACTTTTGTATGCGCGTATTTCCAAAGTCTCTGCAATCGAATAATTTTTCGACGCGTCGCGACGCCCAGCTCTTTGCAGGCATCGAATTTTTTAAACTTTGGGAAATATCTACTTGACCCCACACTTTGACTACTTTTTACATAAATTAAATATTTCTTTTCGTTTTGGACTTATTGGCGTGCGGAGTTTTAAGTGAAAAACCCTGTATATATATATATATATATATATATATATATATATATATATATATATATATATATATATATATATATATATATATATGAGGATTCTGGTAGCAAAATAGATTTTCATTTCAACACATTCATGTACATAACAAATAATAGTTGCAAAGCCCAAACAGCATTTTGCGAGTTATTGAAATTAAGTTTTCGTAAAAGTTTGGAAAGTTGGCCCAACACCACAAAAGTTGAGAATTAAAATTTTATTACAAATATGATATTTTGGGTTTCTTTAAATCTTTATGGAAGATAATAAAAATGATGCGGGCATTTTTAAAGCGTTTTGATTACGAAATTATCTTCTTTGCAAAATGATTTGTGTATAGCAGAATATAAAATGGAGACTCAAGTTGAATGGCCTGTTGCTGTTGTTGATTTGCTTCGATAAAATAAAGGTGAGCTTTGTAAAACAAATGATAACATTTTACCTTTCTCAGAAGTCAATTTTCATTAACTATTTCTAGTCAGAAGAAAAGAACTTGCTGACAAAGATTCGGAAGAAAAATAGATTCGAGTGGTCCAAAGAACACACATGGTCTCCAAATCAATGAAACTCCATAATTTGAAGTGATGAAGCCTGATTTGAAGTATGCTTTGGTGATAATAGAGGTCGTGTCATAAGAACTAAAAAAGAAATGTTTCAGAATGATCATCTTATAAAAAAAAATTAAGTTTCGGGCTGCTGGTATGATTTGGGGACCTATGTCAGCAAGTGGAGTCGGAGAGTTACATTTTGAGGAACATATTATAAATGTTGATAAATATTTTAATGCTTAGTGCTTAAAATAACCTAAAACCTCAAATTAAATAAATTCATCTAAACAATCTCTTCCAACAAGATGGTGCCGCTTGCCATACCGCTTAAAAAATAAAAGATTGGATGTTAAAAAACAATATTCCAGTTTTAAAATAGACTTCGAGTGGTTCAGATCTATCGCCGATTGAAACCTTGTGGCATATCATGAAGAAAAAGCTCTGATAGAATACCGCAAGGACCTTTCCAGAATTACGAAACCATCTCCAAGAAATTTGGTACACCAGATGACTACCAAACATTAGTTGAGACTATGCCAAGACGTATCAAAGCAGTAATCAGTCGAAAAGACGATGTGACACAGAAGTAATTTGCTGATATTTGGTTTCGTTGGTTCGTAGTTTTTAATCAGTTTTTAAAATACTTAAGATATTTTTTTCTCTACTACAAGAAATTGTAGTATTTTAAGCTAATACTAAATAAAAATATCGAATGTTATCAGAAATACGTTATGGTTTTTAATACGTGATTGCTAATATAACAAATTTAATAGAAAAATGAAATTTTAATAGCTGGGCCAACATCACTGAGACATGGTTCGTACACAAATTGCTCATTTGATCTTCTCTATGATTTAATGCATTTCATTACAATTTTCACAGCTGAGTGTTTTGTTCGTCTCCTAGCTTTACCGTACCCTGTTGTTCCCCGAATCCATAACAACGATTTTGCCGCCGTGAATGGCCACGCTTGTCGGAAAATTAAGACAAAACGTTCCACTTGAGGGTCCAATAATGTTAACTTTTTCTCCGGATTCCGGATCCACTACCAAAACTCTGTCATTTCCCGTGTCGCATACCAAAATTTCTTCGTCTGGTCCCATCGCGATACCTTCCGGACTGCGGAGTTTTTGATTACAAATGTTCCTCAAGTATACTCCATCGCTTGAGAATACGTGAATGCAGTGTTTCCACTTATCCGTGACAAAAGTCTCCTTCCGCTGAGCAGAAAATGTCACTCCGACCGGACAAATCATGTTGGCGTTGTATAATCTGTTTAAAATAGAACAAGTTCGGTTAATTCTGAAAATTTGCCTTAGTCCAAGTTAAGTTGAAATGTCGGTCAAATCAAAATCTATATTAATGAAAGTCGCATTTGAAGAATAACTTAATCGAAATTCTTTAGACAGTGAACGACCAAATTATGAAACAAATTCTTTAAACATTGTATATCAAGAAAAATACTAACACATGTCGATCACAATTTTTTTTCCGTAAATAGAAAATATACAGTGTGGGTCAAAAAGTATATGTCGATAAGTTCTTTTTTTAAATAGAATACCATTTTTTTTTAAATCGATTTTCGAAGTCTGTGTCTTTTTATGGTAAAAGAATAAGAAATTTAATTTTGGAATGAACAGTAAAGAAAGTGAATATGGTACATCTTAATGAAAGCGAATTTAAATTTAAATTTGTATTGGATATGGAGACAAAACGAAAACTCAAGAAGAAGTCTGTAATTTGTTTATCGCAAAATATCCAGACCTGTTACAGTGAGTGAGTAAAATTGAGAGAAAATTTATGGAAACTGTATATCACCAACAAAATCATACCCAATATTTTTCAGAAAGAATCAACTTGTATCATATAAATTGACTCGCTTTATTGAAGTATTTTACTTTCCCATAATTGGGCTCCCAGAATAGTCCTCCATAGTAGCACGCCTTGAATGCAGTGGCTGTAAGGACATTAAAAATTGTTGCTAATTAGGCCGCTATGATATTTTCGTATGCCCTTAAATTTGACACACTAAGCTGTACTTTAAGTCATTTTCCTTCTTTTTCTCTGACAATTTAACGGGAGCTGAGCATATTTCCAGAAAATACTGACGTAAAAATGTCACATCCGACCTTAGAGCTATCGAATTCACGATCTGTCAGTGGCCATGTTGGTTATTGAACTCTGCTAGTTCTCATTTCAAATAACAGGTCTTATTGATTGAAAAATAAATGGTTAAATACCGCGCATGCTCAAATTGAATGCCTCTTCTCAACATTTTTGTAATGTCCATTTTAAAAGTATTATCAGCATAGGCAGCGTCTCTAGATAGTAGTATAGATATCTATATGAAGCTAACATACGACGTATGAATTTTTTTGCTTCTGGGTCAAATGGTGGATGAGAAATTAAATGGACTACAAAAATATTTGTAATTTATATCAAATAACGAAATTTGTATTTGTTATTGTGTGTAACGTTCCCCTTTAATTTCGTTTATCTTTATAAACCGTACACAATATAAAAATTATAATAAATATAAATAACGACTTTATAAATTAAAACTAAATTCTTTCAATAAAGTTTTTGCTTAGTTTGCTTAGCTGCTATCATCATCCTCAGCTATCCATCCATCGTCGGACGTACGCCTCCCCTAAGCATTGCCACTCCTTTCTATCCTGCGCATGCCACATCCAATTGTTGCTGCTATAGCAAAAATAATTCGTGCAAAATCTGAATTATTTCTATTTCTCATAAATTGGGACACATATCTCTGGGGATTAATAATATGCGGATATTAGTTTATACTCACCTCGTATTTAATTTGAATTTATTTTTGTCTATTATTAAAACGTCGTGACTATCAGTAGCGGCAATAAAAAGTTTTGAATCGTCCCATGGAGGCACACCAATTCCTGCAGGTCTAGGACATTTCGTCCAGAGAAGTTTTGGAGTGAACGATCTGAAACAGATTGTGGCTAATATAAAAAGAAAATTAAAACTTCATAAATCAATTATTAAAAATTAATTATCGTTCGATTAGATTTTATTTGTTTTTTTTACATTTATACATTTTACATTTTATACATTGTTGCTTTTTACAAAACTTCTGGATTCCTCTGCATCGGTTTTTGCTTAGTCGAAATTGCTGACGAAGCTCGGTTTTTCAGTTTCAGTCAAGTTCTGAAGAAGCCAACAGGATGATTGGCGAAACGTCAGCAATTTCGACCAAGCAAAAACCGACGCAGGAGGAATCCAGAAGTTTTGTAAAAAGCATTACAGTAGCCTGTGGAAGTTTCTTTGAAAAATTTATACATTGTTTTTAATATTTTTAATATTTTTTTTATCTTAAAATTTGGAGTCACAATATACAGGTAGTATATAGGTATACATATTTAAGTTTTAAACTTAAGTCTAAATGATGATTTTTATGGACAAAACAATATTCGATAAAGAAAGCTCTAATAAACATACGACATGTTTTTTGTAGTTTATATTATCCGTTCATACATCTTGAATGTGAAAAAAATAAATATGTTTTTTTTTTTATTGTGATAAACTATTTTACAATTTGAATTTGCAGGCCAGACAGAAAATGTCAAGTATCTTTGCTTTAGCCGTAATATTAACGCCCCTGCTTTACGCGCTTCGGTTCGACATCACCACGCTATTTGAGACAAAAGATGTAACTTATGAAATGCGTTTCGACTAAATTCAAGCTTCGAGTGATTGACGGACATTCCGATCTCTCTGCACATATATTTGCTGCTAGGCATATAAAACCTCACAACGCGGAAATCTAGTTGAATCATTTAATCGTAGTATTCTGTGCATTTATCAATGGTTATATTCTAGATTTCCTTTCCTTATTTCTGAGAATAGTTTTCGTTCTCGGTAACACATATCAGTGCCGTTTTAATTTTGCTAATTTCAAAAAATAGTTTATTTGTTGTATTATAAAAAACTGATTTCCGATTTTAATTTTAGTAATGTAATGTAAAGTTATTCTAGGTTTTTGTTCCTTGTCAATAAAGTAAAAATTTTATTGGGCGAACTTTTTAAATGTATAGAATGTTTATAGATGTGGCATGCAGAGTTATATACCAGATGTCCCAGTAACGACAGCGAGGTGCGGTATTAGGGAAACGGACGGGGTATCGCAAATAGCCCCAGTAGCCATGGTTTAAGAGTTAACAGTTAATAAATTTAGTTGGTCTCTAACAATCGATCAGTAGTAACCAAGTCAGTGATTTAACCTAGTTTTCAATGAAAAAATAAATGATAATGCTGAATATTGGAAAATAGATAAGGATATCAAAAAAAATGTTGTAAAAGAAATAACGATATATACCTTTAACATTTTATTTTGATTTTAAATATCATTTGACATCCTAAATAATAAATCAACGTTTTATTTGGTAAATTTTGGATATCAACCCATTAATAATGACCCGTTAACTTTCATTCATATTTTAACTTAGAATACAGATATTGAGTTAGCCAAGATAAGCAATCGCAATCGCAAAACGATAGGAAGAGTTTTTTTTTAAGAAATTCAAGTATAATAAAATATACTGAGCCTTTTTGAAATTACGGATATTTATTTCTTAAAATATTCCAGCATCCTAACCACTTTCCCTGAAAAAATATTTGAAATTCGTCTCGACTTTAAAATAGCACTTAACGTATTTTTAAAAATCAAGTTAGTGAAAATAATTTGCAGGATTTTCTCTGGACCCATTTAGTTAATAATTATTTTTTTCAAATTTCTAGTACCGCCCGTACTTCGCTGCTCTTACTGGTACTCCGGCATATTAAGTGCGATAAATAATATAGGTCAATAAACATCTAAAACTGTATACTTACTTTGATCTGTAATACTTGACTAACGAGTCAATACTTTCAAATGGATTAGTTATCGTCGCCACAACTTCCTGCTCTTCTTCCTCGCCGTTATATACCGCTTCTGTACATTGCTCTAATTTGAAAGTTAAGGGATCAAACGTAATGCGGGTTTCGCCGAAATAATTAACCTGTTCCAATAGTTTTGAAGTTTGTTTGTGTAGATCTAAGTACGTTGAAACCTTTAACATGGTAAAACAATTTTTTTAATGCATTAAATTAATTAACTATTAATATTGTTATTTATATTATACCTTGAATATAGTAAAACCTTAGATTATATATTCTTGGAAATATACAGGGTAGCTCTTTCTTGCTTAACAAGTTTTTGGTTTTATTTACGTCAAATTGATTATGCGACTCTAGAAATTGACCAGTTATATAAGAGTGCTAAGAATATTTGAGCACAAATATATAAAATTAAGCGAATTAATTATTGGCGGAATATTAAGAATATTGTTTAATTAAAGGTATAAAGATAACAACATTGGGACTTGCTTCCGATATAACTGAAAGTGCCACGAAATTTGAGGTCTTTGGATTTTTACCTCTAGAGCGTAAATTTTGAATAATTTTCGCTATTTTTAATTCTGTGATATATACGGAAGCAACAAAATGGCAATTAATAAGATGGAAATGGAATTATCCCAACTTTTTTGAAATAGGACATATGATTTTGTTATTCTACATTTTCTAATTTAATGTGATGTAATATGAAATCAAGACACAATGTTTTTTGCTCAAACACTTAATAAACTCTAGTTTTATTGGCGCAATGAACCTTCGTGGTACGTCTGGATTTAAAGTAGTTGCACCGTCAATACAATTCAATAATTTATCTCTATTTTGTACAAGCCTAGAAGTACACTAGTTCTTTTATAGAGCGACGGAGTGTAAAATCCAAGTGCTACAAATCGGGTAATCTGGATGAGGTCTTTAACGTCTTTGAACTAAAATAGAACCAACAATATGTCAAACTTGGTCAAAATGAATGCTAACTAAAAAGAACTTTGGGGTTCGATTGATGTTTGACAGAAAATACGAAATAGCAAACAAACTCTTGAAAATATTTATAGAGAAAGGCATAGTCAATCGATGTAGAATTAGATTTGAACTTGAATTATAATTGCATTCTAAAAAACGAAGTTTTGAGTCTTTAGAACTCAGGAACGCAAGAAGACTGAAAGCTTGCTGGAATTTAATTTTTCCCTGTGTACAACATTATGGCCGAAAGTATAATTCCATAGATACAATTGCGCAACACACAACGGCGATAACTGAAACAGGGTACGCACCGAAAGTTGCTGGTGTTCTGCTTCTGGGGCCCCAGGTCTCCAAAACTGAAGGAGTTAACCGCTAACTTAACTTCTCGAACAGTATAAAATTTTAGTATTCTTGGCAAGGTGTAGAAAAGGCAAGAGAGCGTCAGAAATTTTCGCGCAATCGCAGTATGATACCCTGCACGTAGGATCACAGTTGTTTGTTTTAAATATAGATAACAATCATTTCTTTTACTTTGTTAGGTGTACTCTGACATATTGGCCGCCAAAACACACTTACTTGACCTAAATGGAGATATGAAATATAATTAAATATGAAAAGAAGTCGAAGAAATAAGAAGTAAACGTTCATCCAAAAAAAGAACAAAAAAATAGAAATGTTATAATTGTTATACTGAACTAATTTTAATAGGTTAAATATTTTAATTATCTAGCGGCCAAGGGCACAGTTTGACTATCGGTCTTTTGTAATTATCGCTTGCTGTTTTTACAGTGGCAACACGAGCGCGACCATTTGTTCCAGGATGCAATTTTAACACTCTACGGAGCGGACATTTCAAAGATGGTGTGGTGTCACTCGCAAAAAGAACTAGATTGTTTAATTTGATTTCATTCTACGGGTTTGTCCATTTATATCGCTGTTGAAAAGTAGCGTTGCGGAGTAGCGTTTCCAGAAATCAGCGTTAAGCTTCTGAATAAGTTGCCTTCTGGACAACCTGCGTAATGTCAAGTGTGACAAATCCGGGTCTAGCATTGTTGAGTTTAGAGGCTCCAGAATTGAGAAGTGTCCGGGATTTAATGGGTGCAGCTCATTGGTATCAGTGGACTGAGCGGTTAAAAGACACAAATTCAAAACGGCCTCTATTTGGCAAAGCAGGGTAGAGATTTCCTCGATGATCAGTTTCTGCTCACCGACAACTCGGATAAAATGTGTCTTGAAGCTCTTGACTTCGACCCCAACAAGACCGTTAGAGTGAGGAGTCACCGGAGGTCCTAAATGCCAACAAATAGATAATTTGTCTGCTTCTCCTTCAGCTGACTAATATAGTTGGTTTCGAAAGCCAATGATATTACTTCGTTGATCACTCCAGCAGTCAGTAACGGTACCGCGTCTGGCGACGAAACGGCAAAAGGCAGCCACAAACCCTTCTGTGGATAAATCCATTGTGAGTTTCAAGTGTATGCAACGGACACTGGTGCACACGAACACCAACACGCAAACGTAAGGATTCAAGGCCCTTGAACATCGAGAACGATAGGGCAGGACCTGAAAAGGGCCACAGAAATCAATGGCCACTTGAGAAAATGGTTTTAGCTGGTTGATGCGGTGGAATGGTAAGGAACTCATTTCATGGGGCTGATACTGTTTGGACATGTTTGATCAGAACAGCAAGAGCATTTTGTTGTTCCCCGAGAGTAGATTTTTTGATGGACCCAAAACATTTACACACTTCTTTCGGTTTTTGGAAGGAATGGGATAAAAAAAAATTTCTGATGATGTAACAAAGAATGCGTTGGGTTTTCGACAAGGGTGAGAATTTGTCCAAAATGGTATCCAAAACATTATCAGCCATTCTGATCGAGCAAGCGATCGAGCTCCAATGGAATGACGGTAGAATTTCCTGGACATGGTTTGGAGGTGCTCCCAGCCAACATTGGATAACTCGAGAATTGCACCAAGCGTAAATTTCGCTTATGGTTATTTGGTTGTCGTAAGTCGACAAAATAACGTACGGCACCTTGAAGTTCTAACCGTGCCAATATTTGCGACTTAATGGTTGCCACTCTAGCCTTTGCGCAAATTAGACAGATGGATATATTGTTTTCTTCTTCCATCCGAAAATACACCACACTGGCGTAGGCTCACGTAGAAGCATCACAAAAAGGGTGGATTCAACAGGAATTGATTTTTGATAGTTTAATCTGCCTAGGCAGCTTCAAGGTAGATAAAAGTGGAAATTCGGATTGAAATTTATTCCATTTTTCTATGATTGGTGGGGATGGTACGTCCCAGTTAATATTAAGAATCCATAATTTTTGCATTAGAAATTTAACTTGAAGTAGAATGGGTCATAAAAGCATAAAAAACCCAAAGTGTCAAAGATGGTTCCTATAGTAAAAGAATAGCACGTTTAGTGCATATATCTTCAATCGACATTGATATGTCGATTATAGGACAAATGAAGGCCTAATACCTTGATGAAATATGGTTCGCCTCCATCAAATGATAGAGGCATTTGTCTGTCAGAGTCTGGAACAGACGATAAGAACTTTGGACAATTGCTGGCCCACTTTTTTAGTTCGAAACCTCTCAACATTAATAAAGCTATAAGTTCCGTTTGAAGATTTAGGGCATCGGATATGGATGACCTCGTTCAAAGAATATCATAGATTGAGGTGTCCAGAAGTTTAGCTCTGGGAATTTTAGACTTTTCTTGTTCAGCAAGTTCTTTCAATGTGCGCATAGACAAGAAAGGAGAACATGCCAAAGCAAACGTAATTGTATTCAGCTCGTATTCCGAGATGGGGTCTTCAGGATCAAAACGCCATAATATTTTTTGGAAGACACGATGGTGAGGACTAATAAGAACTTGTCGAAACATCATTTTTATATCTGTAACGAAGGCAATGGGAGCAAACTTTCGTTCAGGCTGATGTTTTTCGGACCTTTTGCTGAGCGGTCCCACACGACTTTTAATTTGGCGCTAACACTATCCGGTTTTAAAACACATTGGTGGGGGAGGTAACAAGATAGTGGTAGTTTTGAACTGTTATTTGAAATCAAGGGCATGTGATTAGCGCCTAAGTACGTTTTTATGAATTCTGAATAAGCCTTGTGAAGATCGGGATTTTTTTAAAAGCGATTTTCCCGGAGAAGAAATCTAAGAAAAGTGCTGAGGGTAGGTATTACCTAGATCTGGTAGTTTATCTTTTTAAACGGAAGATCTACCATAAACCTATCTCCAGAATTTCGGAACGATAACCTCTAGAGGCACTGGTGGACTGGTAAAAATGGAATTTGTTTGATTTGATTCGGTAATTTTGTTTATTCGGCCAGATACAACACAGCCAAAGAATGTTTCGAATGCAAAAGTTGCACCAGGGTTACCCACAGCTTTCCCTTCTCTCAGGATTTGACCAAAGTTTTGTACTCTGAAAGGGTAGTGAGAGATTTTCGGAGAACGAAACATGAAGGTATTGGTTGAAGTGAATGGTTCAGATTTGTTACAATTTGAGATAGTGTTCTCTGTTGTTTCTTGATTAGGTTTCACCATGTGGAGTAAGGAATGATGTCTGGAAAAACAAGTACGGCAAGAAAATTTCGATGTTCATGAATTTACTCCATGTGAAGGATGAAGACAGTTCATGCAAAGTTGTTGTTTTCCAAAGTCTAGGCGATCGACAGATACTAGTTCCAAAAATTTAGAACATTTACTTAAAATACGTACTTGAAACATTTTATGCGGTTATAACCCGCATTATAATAGGCTTATCATGAATTTTGGGATTGTGAAGGTGACTATTAGGTTGATAGTTGGATTTAGGTTTCGTTGGGTGTAAATATTGTACGGATTCTAGGGTTTTATATTTGTTTTCCAAAAAAGAGAAAAGAGAGTGATAAGTAGGAACTTCGACTTGGCTGTTAGCTATGCCGAAGCTAGTACGAGTACTCGGATCTAGATTTTCTATTATTATAAAAGAAATGACATAATCCCAGCTTTGAACGTTAAAGCATTTAAAATTTCTAGTGATTCTGAAAAAGTGCCAATTAATGCTCGTAATTCTTTTGCTGACTTATTTTTTAAAGTAGCCTTCATAATTGACCCGAGTGCATTGTTTGCAATTAATCTTTTATTTTGATAACGACTGACTAATTTATAATATGCTATTTGGTAATTATC